CCATAATCGTCATTCCTCATAATTTTACTGCTTATCAAATCAGTAACCCGCATAACATATAACCGATACTACTCATGCCATTCCATTGATACTAAAACCCATAAAATTTTTCAATATATTGAGACTGCTAAGCAAAATTACGAGTACGTAGATAAACTCTATCTAATGCCATTTCATTTTAAAAACACAACGTCCTTACCAACGATGCCAACAGTTCTGGGAAACTAGGCACAGGAATTGACGAGACATATAGATTATTATATGACATGTTCTATGTAATCACAGATTCAGATCGTGAAGTGAAATGTTTTGCAGGCTAGACTACAGACCAAGCATTATAATAAGATAGCATACAAGAATAAATCTTTCCGTTACCCCTGTGAGCTATCTGACTATCGACCAAATCAAAGTTACATTTTTTGGATGTCATTCAGTTTTTACCTGTGTTTTACTCTATACCAAAATAGGCACCATTCTAAAACTGCTTTCGAATGTGATTTCCTTCAAAGTAAATCTAAAACTTTAGTCCATACAGTAAGAACTTCAGTAAAATTTTTAACTGACAGGAAAATTCGTTTACATGATAGAGATGACTTTAACAGGAAAAGTGAATGAGGTAAAGCTATATAAACATAGTCAATATCACAGATTGAGCGATACTAAACAGCATCCATTAATCTACCTTTTTTCAATTTCATTGAAACAGTCCTAGACCCAGCAATGTTATTGAATACCATGTTTGAAATTTCATACCGGTTTTACAAGTCGTAGATTCCATTCATAAAAAATTACTATTTCGATGAAAAAACATGATAAAAATTCACAAAAATAGTGCTATAGCAGACTGCACTACTAATATCACCGAATGCCAACAGGAATGACATTTTCCTAACGAAGAATGAAAAACTGTCACGTAAAGAAATTGTCTTGAAAGTAGCATCTACAATTAGTATTAAATCAACATTATATGAAGATTTACAGTATCAAGCAAGTTTTATAGAGACAAATCTAAAACAAACAAAATCACAATGCCTGCCGAATCCGATATTACTTCAACTACTAAATTTTGATTTCCAAGTGATTTTTTCTAATGTAAGAACACGAGTAATGAAAGATAATCATTTTTTTTCTAAACTATTATATTTCATCTTTACACTACTATCCACTAGAGCATGGCTGAAAAAATGTTCACATCGTAAAAAATAAGTCCTGGAACAGCTATGTAAAGGTAAATCATATACATATCTATCATCCACATGATTTATGTCACATTAATATCTACATCTGAAACTATTTGTTGTGTGGCTTGAAAAATAGAATATGTAGGAAACTGAGCGGCACAAAGAAAAGAGATTAGTAAAACCATTACATAGGGTCAATAAATGCCGTGACAAGGACAATTCAATCAGACTGTCCGGTTGCTGCTGCATATTCCCGAAATTTGCGCAGCATTTCTTCATTTGCTGTTGGTTTGATAGCATTCATTGCTATTTTAAAATCTTTAAGTGTTATCGGGCGAATTTCTGTGCCGGTCAAATTTCTGATATCTTTTCGAGATAAATCACGGATCGGCACCATGGCTGCTTCCCGACAAAGAGCGACCAAATCAGAATAGGAATATCCTCGAGTTTTCTCAACCAAAATCCTAGTATTTGAGCATGCCAAAAATGTTTTTCAGTATAAAGTATTAAAGTTTAATTGATATGCCTGCTTTGATGAATCACGTTTCTAAACTAATTTTGCAGCTCACTGCAATAAGACTTTTTAATTCAACTGTGATACTTATTAAGATTATGTGCTTTACAAAGGAAAATTTTCGCTTAAAATACCATTCCCATTTCAAACTTCCAAATGCAAACAAAGTTTGGAAAAAGCTTAGTTAAAATGCATTCAGATGAACACTTACTGTTTTTGTCCAGAATCTAAAGTAAATGCAGTTTTCGTTTTTTGCAACAAAGAAACTATTAATTCTAGGCGTGCTTTTGCATTGGGTACATCAATAAGAATCCGCTTAGGGAATCGCCTCAGAATAGCTGAATCAAGCTCATTAGGACGATTTGTAGCACCAATCACCAGTATACGATCATCTTCTGTTGAATACATACCATCCATCTGAATTAAAAATTCCGTCTTCAAACGTCTTGAGACCTGAAAATTGAAGTCAGTTCATCTTTCTTCACTTTATTAAAAAATAATTACGATATAAACTATTCTTTAAGAACTGCACGAATTATTCTTATTCAAAATTTATGCGAATTTCAAAATGTGATTATGAATCGTATATTATTAGTATAGTTAAGTGATCGGCATGTGATTCGCCAAACAACTGCTTTAAATTAGGAGTAATCAAAAGAGACTATTTTTCAAATGAGATGAAAATATGAATAACGACATCTACCACAAGAACAGACTCGAAATAAAAGAGTCTTTGGAGGAAAGAAAATTAAAATACTTATCAAATCTGATATTATTTAAGTCTTTTGAAAAACTAGACATCTATAGCAAAATTTTGATCTGTGGTTGATTCCTCTTAATTTAAAGCGACATAAAAAGTAATGGCGTAATAATCACTTTTTTGTATGCAAGTTCATTTTATTGTAGTTTTTTGTACACAGACAGAAAGTCAAAACTCATTTTAATTTATAGTTTCTAAATATGATTGCTGAAAATTTATACACTACCTTAACACTAGATGGAATAATTTGATGCTTAGTAAAAATATTATAAACACTCCCTGAAGGATAACAAACATACTTCCGTTTCCTTCTCGCTGCGTTCGCAAAGAATTGAATCAATTTCATCAATGAATATAACGGTCGGTTGCCCATTGCGAGCAATTTGAAACAAAGCACGAACAATTTTTTCTGCATCTCCAACCCATTTCGAAGTAAGTGACGCTGCTGTGATATTTAGAAACATCATTGAACCACATTCTGCTGCCACTGCACGAGCCTGAATATTTGCAGAGTGAAAGTATAAACAATCTGAGCTTTTTCGTAAAATTAAATTAGAAACTTTAGAATTTTCGACTCTAATAAAATGAACTGGAATCTTATATTAACTTTACATACCAATAAAGTTTTGCCATTTCCTGGTGGACCAAACAGCAAAATCCCTCGCGCCGGTTTACGAAGACCAGAGAATAAGGTAGGATTAATGGTTGGTAAAATTACTGTTTCTTCTAAAGCTTGTTTAGCTGTTTCAACACCAATAATATCACTCATTCTCACATCATCTTGACTCAGAATTTCATCCAACAAAGGTTCACCAAATTTGTCATCAACACCTTTTAAAAGATTATTTCGAACACGGGCATTCTGAAACACTACAAAAAACATCCAAAAAAATGAAATTCGAAAATATTCAATTGGACACTAATATCCATAGTTAAATTTCACTCAAAAATATCAATCGCTACTTTCAAAAAGATATATAAGAGAGAATCACCATTCAATTTGTAGCCAATAATAATCCGATCTCTCATATATGTCAAATTCCACATGCAGTATTCTACTATAGCATTCAAACACATGCGCATTATGACAGTCATCAATAAGTAGATGGAGATCATATTCTAAACAAATTCACCACAACATATTGAAATCACAAATCTGCTAGCGCGGCTAATTAAGAATCTAACCCCCTTTTGAAATGACAATTTTCACTAATTTTTTTGCATTCAGCAAAACATGACAGCAATGACTGCTGTTAATATGACCACAGTTTTTTCTGATAATCATTCATCACTTAGATATTCACAAGTCTCCCATTACTAATTTCCCAACGAAATCGACCATCAAATTCTGTATTCATTAATTTGAATATCTGCATCATTTTAACCACTCAATTTTTTCACACAAGAAGATTCAACGAATTTTCCGTTCTTTATTTTTTCACTGATCATAAAATGCAAATCAATTTTATTATCATCCAAAAAAAATCGTGAAGTTTCTACATTTGTCACTCACCGCAGAATCAATAATTCTCTTCCTCGGTACAACAGGCCTATTTAATATGTCCACTGCTTGTGGTTTACTTGATGAAGGCGGAACTATTTGAACCGGTTTACGTAGCAAATTTCGGGCCCTCACAGAAGGGAACATTTTTTCTAAAAGTGTAGAAAAATTAGAAAATATTTTCGAAACAGTGAATTGGAGAGAAAAGTGTTCGTTGACAGAGTTTTTTTGAACACATAAAAGCTGTTTGTTTAAAAAAATTTAAGAAAGAATGTTTGCAGTGGAAAAAGCAAAATCCGAGTTTTTTTCAAATTTTAACATGTAAAAACCTGTACAACTTACCGAGATCACCAAGTCTTTCTCTTGTTGCTTCTAAATTCCGTTTCATTGCTTCTCTGTTCCTAGCAACTTCCTTCCGCTTTTCTAGATGTACCTCATGTGGCAATATTTTCAATGCTTTTTCAATATACTCGATACTAATCCGATATTTATTCATCGCTATCTGTTTTCTTTGTTCATCTAAAAAATCAGAAATACTGACTGCATTATTTCATTTACTCGAAGAAATTAGGATATAATAAAACTATTTGCACATGCAGTAAAAGCAAATCCTTGCATATTATTACATCATAACAAGCTCAGAATATTTCTCCTTGGATCAAAAACTTTTGAATTACAATCTTAATTTTTAATGAAATTATCAAAAGTTATCACCATTCTTGTCGGATATTTCATCGATCGAAATACCTTCGGTTAATATCTGCTTGGATTTCATATAGGCTTTATTAAATGTTTCATAGTTATGCTCTTCCAACTTCAACGGGTTAAGCATTTTCCCTGCAAACATTTCATACATTGTAAGCGGTCAAGCATATTATTTTTATCAGGAAGAAATTTGACAAAAATGATATAACGATAAGAAAATAAAATTGTAACTATGAAATTACGTTTCTTCTTACACTGTAATGGTTATGATTATATTTTCTTGCTTATATACTGTTTTTATTCAGTTTTTTCCCCATTATGTACAAACCAAAATAGATAAAACTAAATAGTAATTGAAATTCCTATAACGAAAAATAGGAGTGCTGTTGAAAGGAATACACTTGATGCCCGTGTTGAGAGCATTGTGAGGAATAAATTTACCTTACAGATAATTGTTTACGCGAAAAAAACAATCTGATTAAAAACAGCCCTAATACCTACTCTTCAAAACATGTCCATAACTAAACATTCCATACCTTTATCAATTTATATTCTCAGCCAGAACATTTTGAAGAAAATCTTCTATCCAAATTTCAGGTATAAATGTAATTTCTATACTAGACCAAAACATAACTACATAAACATGATCTCTATCATTTCAATCCATCCATAACATCTATTACTTTAGATGAACTTCGAAGGCACCTAACGAATCGACTTTATAGCCAAGTTTAGAAACACCAATTGAAAATGAGAAACTGCTTCTCCAGTGAATTAAATTGTCATCACATAAGGTAATGGTCAAAAACACGGGTGATGCAGCAACGCCTAGTTTCTAAATTAATTCCACTGGTATGAGTACATATGTGGCTAAATCTTCCTGATCGATACTAGATAGCTCGCTAATGCAGCAACAACTCGCGAGCAATCGATTGCGAGAAAAGCACGTCAAAACAAGCTAGGCCGAAATATGCTAGTGAAGAAACAAATACGCATGCTAATTCTGTTATATTTTGCATGCCATTCTGCCATGTCTCAATTGCAATGTGGTGTGACTGAACATGCACCTACCAACAACAGCTTATTTTCATGAATATATGAAATATATGAAACTTTCAAATATTCATGAAAATATCGGCACTTAATTTTTTCACGTAATCCGAGTAGTAGCACGTTTTCACAGGCCTCATTGAAAATTCTAAATCCAAGACAGTAAGTAAATTTACTAAAAAACTCGTAAACACAACCATCGTTTCTTGTTATAGACTTAGAAATAAATAGGAATGTACTGAATCTTTACTAGAGTCACTAAAAAAACCAACTTACGCTTTGAAATGCATCCAAGACCAGTAGTAGTTTCTTTACGTTTTCTGTAGTTACGCATCACGTTATTTGCCGATGTCATTCGTGAATAGAAATCAAAGTCTTCCGGAAAAATCAAGCTTGTAGGCGTCTTAATGCTTCACATTAACATTTTCAACAGATAGTTTTTCTTAGAATAGTTAATGTCCAGCACTTATTATAATCTTGAGCAGCAGCTTGCTTTCATGAACCTTTGTGAAAATTTGAATATCAATAAAACAATTTCACAAATCTAGCACACGTAGAATCACAACTTGTGCGAAGACTTCTACTTTGCTACGAAATTTATTTTATGGTCAGTTCGACTTTTCCTACTCCTACCTACACTTATTTCCGGGATGATCCTAACATAACTCAATCTTTACTTGTTCGACTTCAGTGCATTCCAAATAATAGTATTTGAAGCATTTCTTTTCACCGCAAATTGCCAGAAGTAACAATACCAAGTGTGCATCACACTGATTATATTTCGTTTATACAGACGACAAATTAGCAATTCAAAAAATAGTGATACAACAGAAGGCAAATAAAAGACACAAAGTAAGGAACTTTCAAGAGCACTCTAAGATGCAAAACAAAGTAAGAAACTTTCAGTAGTTTTGTTAGTTGGATTTTTGTATTTTAGTTTTCGTGCTAAACAGCGATAGACAAGTCCGACATCTTGTAGTCAATTAATACTTGCAATATTCAGACGAAGAAATACTTTGACACAAAAGTAAAAAATATATTGCAAAAGATGTTAGCTGACTGAAACACTTTCGAAAGTAGAGATGAAACTTTCACGCATAACTAGAATGATTAAAGATAACAGAACTTTCCCTTTGGATTTAACAGACATCACCCTTGTATCATCACCGAATACTGATAGTAGAAGTGTCATAAATTACTGTTAAACTGTTCTTGGATGACACATCCAACAGTTCAATATTCTAGGGATGACTCAGGGTTTATGATAGGAGGATAACAGTACAGCCGAAAGTTAAGCTAAAGTAAATATTGAAATTGCACAACAAGATGGATTTCTCGAACTTCTTAATTTTTCTTGGATAGAATTTTTTGATATCACATCGTTCATTTATGCATACATCTTATTTACAAAATAAATGACAGTAAGGCACGGAACATACAAGCAAATAGTCACTTGAGCTGTACGATTTATATGCCATAATGCACTTGAAGGGATATTCATATCAATGATAAAACCATGATTTAATATTGATCAACGTTATTCATTCCAAGAATGTACTGAAATCATAATTTGTAATTGGTGAAAATGATACCGCAATATAAATCACAGTTTTCCTTGAGCTATTATGAAGCAATTATCAAACTATATGACAAATTTATACAGTTTACGAGCTAGTTTGCTGGAAGTAATATTCACTGGCTTCAGGTGGAAGTTTCCAACCACTTGCTCCCAATTCCATCAACAATAATATCATTTTGCGAGCCCAAGGTTCTTGTACCTACAATAACTAAGTGAAATTTACCTTCGAATAAATCAACCACACGTAAAATAACTAATTATTTGGGTGAAGCTGTAGAAAAATCCTAACAAAGCATGATTTCTTTCAAATAAAAGCTTTAACTAAACACTTATGCAAAATGCCGAGATTTTTTTCAGAAACAAAAAAGTATACCTCAATAAAAGCATCTCGGATAAGATCCTTCAAAATTGCCAACTGTTCGGGACACTGCCGTTCGAGGTCATAGCCAACGCTCAGCAAAAAACCAATCAAACTTTCCAACTATAAAAAGAATATAGTATTTTTCCAGTAAACTAATTCGTTGCTTAAGTATTTATTTTAAAAGGACAAATTTTAACTTAAACCTTGAGATCATTTTTAATGACTAAGGAGTTGGCATGATTCAAAATGTAACTGAATGAAAGGACTTGTAAGAAACTTATTCTAATCTTTAATTATTGAGCTGAAATTACATAATAATTATCTATTGAAAACGAAAGAGACCTCTTCAATTTTTAGGGTATCAAGAACAGGTGCTTTGAGCATGTAGCCAAAAATACGAAAAACAAGGTCGACTAGTTCGCCTGCAAGAAAATACCTCTGAGATTTTGGAATAAATAAGTCTTTTACTAATTTGAATAAATTAGTCTGCGCGACTGACTTATGATGTTCGAGAGAAAGACCTCAGAACATCACATGCTTTTAACCAAATTCTAAATCAATCTTCCACAGATCCTTAATTTCTTTATAAGTCTTATAAATTGCAGCTGTAGTCAATTTTAGAAATAAAAACTAATAATATTTTTAAAAGATTCAGTCACAACATCGAATATGCTCAATTTTCACAAAATGTAAAACAAAATTGCCATTCACAGCTTAATTCTTGCATGAGATGGAATCAAAATGTGCTAGATTTTTACAGTTGAAGAAACCTTCATAAATGTAGCCAAAATTAGCATACAAATCGGATACAAAATTGAGGAAAGTGATCCAAACACGAAAGTGATCGATACGTAAACGATCCCTGCATTCAAAGTAATGCATTAGTGCTACTACGATACCCTAAAA